CATGGCCTATAGGCTGTACCTGTGCTGTACCTGTGCTGTGAGCCTGCAGCTAATCCATCAGCATGCTTATTGGTTCTTTGCAGACGTCTTTCCAAAATAGTCTGACTTCAGGAGTTCTTCAGCTGGATCATAAGCAATTGGGTTGTATTTAGAAGTGCATGTGAGCTTCCCCCTTTCACTCCTCCAAAGCCTAAAAGGATTCAAGCAATGGAGTTTTGAAGCTGCACATGAGATACGCATTGGAAAATCAGGGAAGGAAGCATGATGTGCATTGTTGTTGCTTCTTTAGCATAAATCTACTTGACACGGCATCTGGGACACTGCTCTGATTCTCTTGCTAGGGCACACCAGCCTTTTATCTACCGGATAGCTTTCTAGAGGAGCACGGGGATAAGGACACAGTCACTGTAAGGGCCTTCCTGAGATGTGTGCTGCAGTCTTCAGAATGCCCTTCTTCAGAAGTTTAAAAGACAGGTTTTTGTCTGTCTTGCACTGCCTCTCTCCTACAGAAATTTGGACCTTCCAGCTGGGATGCTAGTAAAATCCTCTTGCCAGCAAAGAAGCTTTGGGAAGCTGTAAATATCGCTTCCTGAGGACCTTCTGCATTTCCTTCAAACACTCCACCTTTATGTGGTGTTGCTGTGCTAATCCTTTGGATGGCAGCCTGATGGATAATCATGGGCCTGAGCTCTCTCCCACAGAAACATACATCCTCCTCCATATGTACACCTAACCCCCAGTGCTCGGGATGCTGCTTGCTATACCTGCCAGGCTGCGCTCCCCAGCTGTAGCCTTCCTGCTCTGCATCTTAGGGGGTAGTCCTCTGATATGAGCTGCTTGCCATGGGTGTCTCTGCTAATGCTCTTGGCTGCCTCTGGTCACAGATGAGAATTATCCAGCTTTTATTTTCCCACTGGGATCTAGTCCTTATTCACAGGCAGCTGTCTCCTGGTGGAAGGTTCATTTTGTGTTACAAAGTTCCTTTGAGACCACCTCCAGGCCATCATTCACAATGTCTCCACATGACTTTATCGAGCAAGGTGTGAGCTCTTTCTAGTTCTCACTGCACCTTTCTTGCCTGCAGCAAAGCTGTTCCCTCTTCTTATTCTCAGTTGTCCCACCTTCGTCATCTGCATGTTGTCAGGAACAGTAGCCGACTCCTACTATAAAGGTAAAAAAGGGTCAGCCTTATTACCAGATGCTAGTATTTATGGTGTTGCTTCACCAGGATTCATCCTTCCCATTGCAAGAGCCAAATTCTTCTACTTCTGGTAATTAATTGACAGCATTTTGGGCCTGAAATAGTGAAGTATCCTTTAGCTTCCCCAGTGTGAATCACAAGCTTTGTAGCTTGTAGGACCAGCTGGATTCCAAAGACTCTAAAGTGACACTCAGCCAGTTCAGGAGATTTTGCAGCCATGGAGAACAAGGAGAAATTAATTCTAGTCCCTGTGAGTTGCCTGTTCTGGCCTTTTGATAGATATAGTTCTGCATGAATATACTTAAGAGCAGCCTAATTAGAAACTTAATGTCATAGAAAAGGGCTGGCAGGCAGCCCGAGAAGTTGCTAAACACACTTCATTTCTAGGGGGAGCCTTATTACCATCCATGCCAATCCTAGTACATGTGTGAGACCCATTTTTAGCTTCTCCATGGGAAGAGGCTCCACAAACTTGTAGCGTATTCCACTACCTTGCTGTCCTGACCATTAAGTCATTAGACTTTCCTTAATGTTCAACCTGACTTTCCCTTCTGCATTCAAACTGACTTTTTATCCCATCCACACATTATTCTTGCCTTGATAGTGCATTGTTCTGTGCATTTGAAAACCATTATTGTATCCTTTCTGTTCTCCTGTCTCTGGGTTTAACAACCCTGTTCCTCAGTCTTTCCTCACAGGCCATGTTTTCTAAGTCTTTGATTTTTGGTGGTCTTCCAGCATGTCCACAACTTTCTCAAAGTGAGATTTGGTAATGCTGCAGCATCCTGAGAGTTCAAATTGCTGCTGAGCATCATATGAGAATTAAAAAATACAGTATTATGGGGCACACTTCCATTACAATGGTAAAATAGAGCATGGCAAATCTGTTTCTTATCTTATGGAAATCACATCGCAGCCTAATCTCCAATTGCAATATTCATTAATACAGCCTGAATAATAAGCATGTAGAGAACAATTGTAATGAAAGCTACTTTCACAGTGCTTAGGAGATAGAGGTTTGTGCACATGAGAGGTTCTGACAAGATCAGGAGAGCAGTGAATGAAGCTCTTCATATGCATCTGTCTAACAGAAAGGGATTATACACAAATGAATCTACAGCTGGCGTTAGCCTACATGTATCGTGCTATACTACAGTGACCGCTCTAGTTTCTGGAGGAGTGATGATAAAGAATAGGAATGCAGCAGAGACTTGCACTGCATTGTGGTAAAAACACTGCATGTTTTCTATAGGAAACTGGTTCTTGCATGCACAAGGTAGCCCTTGTGTAGAGCAAGTCTTGTTGCAAACACACAAAACCCTCTCAGGACATCAATATCTTAGCGAGTCAGTCAGGAGCGGAAACCTTGCCAGTTTGACACTCCTGTAATCTGGATTTGGCTGCTGCTGCTTTCCTGCTGATGGGTCCAGTTCATGCTTGTTCATCATGGGACCTCCAAAAGAGAAATTCCATCAAAAGGTACAGTTATAAAGAGGCTTCAGCCCTTGGCCAGAAGCTGCTGTTCCACAGCAGCTTCTTTGAGGTGTTCTGGGGACAGAAGCAGGATAGACAATGTTGGGGTAGTCCTGTTCTGCATCTGACAACCAGGAGCCAGTCTCTGTTTAGAGCAGAACTCGGCTGGTTTAATGTGCACTGAAAACAGGCAGCTCAAACCTTTGTCTTTCAGAGCTTACCTCTTGGCATTGAGGCTGCCCAGGGGAAGAGATCCTGGGGTTTGAATGCAGGCGTAGGGGGAACAGGGAACAGTCTGTCCAAGGAAAGCTTTGATAGTATCCTCACATACACAGCTGGATGGAATCAGCACGTGCTTAAACTGTTTTGCTGACAATATCCTACCTTGATATTGCTGTCTAAAGATACTGATCTTAATTTCCCTTCCTCACAAAACACGGAGCTGCTATCACACCATAGAGTGGCAATGGACCCATTGGTTAATTCATGTTTGTAAAGCAGTTAAATGCAGTGGTAAGGACCACTGTTGTAAAGTCCAGGGGGGAACAGGTAACTTTATCTTCTGAAAGAGGGTTGCACACAGCAGTAAAGAACTAGCCAAAAGAGTAAAAAGAAACAGCAATGTTTACTGGGTGGAAGGGAGAGCTTGTGCCATGAATGGGAATGCTGTAGAAGAAAACATTTTGTGTTCTTAAAGGGCTTCTGTGATCCTTGGCTGTTGAACTACAGGAGTGCAAAAGAGGAATTAATTTTACCCCTGGTTTAATGGAGGTCAAGGCAGCTACTGAAGTAGGGCAATGCTGCTTCGGTACCCTCTTGAAAGGTATTAATATTTGAAGATGAGAGCTTGTTTTGTTGTTGTTGGTTTTGTTTAAAGCTTTACAGGGTGAGGCTTAAGGAGCTCAGCCTATTTAATTTTTTAGAAGAATAGTGTGAGTGGACTTGATAACAGGGTAACGTATCGCTGAGCAGGGGAGGTAGGGAATAGGTAGGCTGGGTGCTTATCAGAGAGAAGTACGATAAGAACCTGCAATCTGAAAGCACACGAATCAAATTGTAAATTGGGCACCCTTTTTAAAAGGGATTAAGCACCACAACACGTGTCCAAGGGTGGTGGTACCTTCTCCATCCCATCATGTCTTTAAATCAAGAACACGTGATTTTCTGGGACTCAGGCTTCCATCGAGTATAAGAGTTCTGGGCTCATTCCAAGGATAGTGATGAAATGACATTTATATACAGAATGATCGAATCGTTTCTCTTGGCCTTAAATGTTAATGAAATTATGAAGTGTGGGTATTAAATTAAAGACACTATCCTCCAATATATGCCCAATAAAGATTAAATAGGACTCCATTTGCCATTTTTATATCTGACATTTCCTAACTAAATGTTTAATTTCCACAGTATTAATAATGCTCTTTAGCACTTGTAGCAGTCAGCTACCTCTGGTTCAGTGCTGTAGCATTAAGGTCAATACTTCCTTGCCAGGAAGTGTTTGTATGAAGTGCAGATTTCTTCATGCAAAGCACAGCAATTCAGGCTCTGACTTAGTCATTATGATTCTGCCCTGTTTGTGCATCATGCAGCCTGCTTTGTCTCTGATGATATTGAAGAAAACAATATGAAGATATTTTTAATATAATATACAATATATTAATATATTAATATAATATACAATAATATAAATTATTGTTTACTATAATAAAAAGAAAAAAGTTTGTGTATTTCCATAGATACAGTAGAGTGTGTGCAGGAGGAGTTCTGATATGTTGGGTGCATTTAAGCATTTAGATTAATAGATAATAATTTTCAGGTACTTGAATTCATACACCCTCATTGTTGGATTAGACATCGCTGCAGGGGTGATCAAAGGCTTTTCTTAACGGTTCATGCTGATTTTGTTTTATTAGCGGTTAGGAGCTCCAAATAAAGTCTTAAGCCACTTTGCTTAAGACCTGTGTAATTATATGGTGGAAAATATATCTCTTCCCAAAGAAACTGTTGTCTAAATAAGCAAGATGTTACTGGGTTTGTGTGTTATCTCCCCTTCACGTGTGGGAAACTGAGTACAAAGGAAAAAGGTGACTTTCTTGGGATCACGGAGGAAGCGTATGGCAGCCCTAAGAACTGGATGCATTTCTGGAGCCCTCATGTACATCTTTAACCAGGAGATCATCAGTCACATGTTAATAAGGTGGAGGCATGTTTTCCAGAGTGCAGTAAGTGAATTTGCTGACCTTTTTGGGTATTGCTGAGAAACTCAAGTGATTGCAAATCTTATGTGGATGACTCTGAGGGAAAAATTAAATGCCTTCAGTTTACTCAATTGTATTATCTCTGTAAGCAGTTCACTACTTGACATAAAGAAGAGTCTCAGGCTTTGTCTCTTAACATAATACAACGGGTTTTCTGCAGGTACAAATTGAGATATTTTAACTCTCTGGTTTTACTAATGGTGATGTGTCAAAAACCCCAATATACATGTCTTAGTCATGTAAAAAGTCTTCATTCTCCTTTGCAAAATACTTGTAGGGACTTTTGCCAGCTCTGATGGTTGTTCACATAATTAATATAGCATACCTAACTTAGAGGCGTGCAACATCTCCTTTTGAAATACAGTTATGCTCAACTGAAGTCAGCTTCCCATTTTTATTTGTGGCTTATAGTAAATGCCCCGAGTGCATTTTGTGCTCGGATTAATAACCGCTTTATCATCACAAGCCTTCCTGGGGCTACCTCTTTGGGGTTTCTTTATTTTGTCTTTTTTTGTTTCCTGAAACAGCATCAGCCTGATTCTTTCTAGCATTTGTAAGGTGGGAAGTCCATGAAATGATCTGTCCCCTTTATTCAGATCATTCATTTCACATTTGGAAACTGGTCTTATTTCTAGGAAGCAGGGCAGTGGTACAAGCTGCCTGGGGTAAGTGCTCCGGTTGGGGATTTATCTTCGTTTTAGTTTAGTGTGACATTCCAGGCGATTGAAGTGAGCTCGGTTTCTCTTGCTGTCACTACTCAGGACTGCCATCAGAAGGAGATAGCTGGCAGTGCTCATGCTGCTTTCCATGTCACTAACTGGGAGCACAATAAAGAGAGCTCGACTCACTGTAAGGTTCCTGAAATGAATGTGTGCAGAGACTTCAGTTAGCAGCTTCCCTCCAGCAAAGAGGTGGTCAGCACCTGGGTACCTCTGTCTTTCTCTCCTGCCTTCACTGCTGGGTCTGCTGCAGTCGGGTCAAGTGGCACTGCCCAACTTCTCAACAGGTAATTGTGCTCCTTTCTTTCCGCGTTAGCCAGCCCGCGTTATGAAATGCATATGCAAAGCTCATCTGCAACATGCTGCAGATTATTAAGGCACAGGGGTTAGGTAATAAATTGTGTCTTGGGATTCAGAAAGACTTGGTTGGAATGTAGGTAGCGGCACAAAACTGAGTGTCTTGCATGTCCCCGAGCCAGGTGCCAAACGCCCGGTTCCTGGTGCCTCACCAGGAAGCACAGAGGGCCATTTCCTGGTTTTGTGCAAGTGGACAGTGTTTTGCAGATGCCAGTAGTTAGGCTGCACAGGACAGTAACTGCACAGAGGAGCAAGGCATGGTGCTATCTGAAGTAAAAGCTGACTGTGTATTTTGGTTTAGTAACCACAGATTTCTCCTTATCCTTTTATTTCTCTGTGAATACTGGTGTTTTTTCCTCCCCTGATCTAACTGTGCAGTGCTTGGGGAAGTTGCTTTTTGGTGAAGGTGTCTGGACAATGGCTTTAAGAAAAGGAAGAAACCTTTAGCAAACCTTTGAGTCTTTGGGCATGTTCCCCAAGGGAAAATGTCAACAGCCTCTTAATGAGTCTGGCATTAAGTGTCACTTATCTGGCTTGATACTTTGGGGACAAGTGCTGGAAGGGTGTCTAAGACCTCAGGCAGTGGCCTCAAGATTTGGGGTACTGAGTTTGATACCTGAGTGTCCTTGGACAGAGATGGACTCCACTCCAGTGCCGCTCTGTGCCAGGCTCCCAGGGCAGGGAACTCAACCTTACACCTTTGGCCAGATGGGTCCCACGAGCCTTCAGCTTCCTGGGGGAAGAGGGTGAGGGTGTGTTGTGCTGCTCAGCAGGATGTGGCTGATCCTGGCCTGTATTTCATGAGTTGTGACAGCCTCTCCTTTGTGCTCCTAAACATGACAACATGGGGAAGCTGCTGGTGCAGCCTGCTTATAATGCCTTGCTCTGTTCTCTGCTGGGAGTCCTTAGTGTTACTCTACAAATAGGAACGATTTAATTCTTAGTTCTTCCACCCCAGGTTGAGTGCAAGTGTTAATACTTCCAGTGCTATTCCATAGTCTTATAGACAAAAAATATGAAATGGAGAAAGACTGCATGAGTTGCCCAAGGTAAGAGTCAGGAACAGATTCCAGGCCCCTCTTCTCTGGTCTTGGTACTCAGCAGTGCTTTCCCACATCTTCCCTGGGATGGCTAACTGCCTCTTTGCTTTACCTGCTCTGACCTTAAGAAACCTGGGGCCTTGGCAGGGCTTGCAAGCTGATGGCAGTGAGGTAGGACTGAGGTTGAGCCCTTCACTTTGCAGGTACGTGGCAACCTTCAAGGAAAGTCCTGTGCATACAGAAGTGAATAGGACGTCAGTGCAGCTAGGGCTCCACGTATGGCCTGATTCATCCTACAGAACGGTGCAAAGCATTACCTATCTGAGGAAGGAATATTTTAGGCTATGTGTAGCAGAGCCATGGTGGTATTTCCATGGTTAGTTGTGGTATGGATTAGGGTGAGCAAGGTTCCTCAGAGTAGTAACTGGCTCAGGTATCTGTACAGAGAGAAGTAGGTTGGCAGGCGTAGGTTCACTCAAGAGTGCTCTTGCAGCAGCATATTAATATTGTGCTGAAGCTGGGGGCTCAGGATCTGGGAAATACGAAACTATTCATGTCTACATCATTACTTGAAACTCAGGGATCAACAGTCTTTTTCCCATGTAGCTGTGCATGTCTCTAATGTATAAAAGCTTCTAGCAGTGTCAGAAGGTAGGTCTTTAGTCCCTAAGCTCCTGTCCCAGGTGGTAGCACCTTCCTACCTTGCTCTCTCACTCAGGTTCTTCCCCTCAGCCCCATCACCAGCAGAGCTTAGCAGTCAGGGAACTACTGTGAAAGGGGAACTGAAACACACAAAGGTGCTTTCATTAGGGTTCCTCTCTACGGCAGAGGTGGAAATGTAACTCTGTTGGCAGAGCTACTGAAGTTCCTGTTCAGGCTGGTCCCTAGCCCTGATGTGGAGCATGGAAGCACATATGGTTCCTGTATTTCTTCTTTGTCCTCTGTAGCTTAAATAGTTTCTGTGTTCTGAGCTGGGTATTTTATCAGTTGGGATATGCTGGAGGTGGTGGAGTTGTTTGCTGGTTGCATCAGTTTGGAAACTCTTGCTACTGATGTTACACAGGAACTGAATTTTTCCCACTGAACTGTTGCTTGGCTCATGCTTCCCAGGTAAGTGAAAGGTTAAGCTGCCCTAAAATAGCTTTGAGAGTGAGAGTCCTTATGTTCAGCAGTGTTGAGCTCAGATTGGAAAGGGTGTCGATGCTAATCAAAATGATCAGGAGATACAACTGCATCCCAAGAAACTGGAACACCCTGGCTTGTTCAGCCAGGTGAGATGGGGGATTCTGGTCCTTGCATCACCAATGACAGTGAATTGCTCATTGGAAGAAAAACCACAAGCAGGGAACTAGGAGCCTTTTAAGCATGAGCCCGGAGATGGCTTAGACTTAGCTACTCAGAGTAGTTAAGGACATCACCCAGAGATGTTGTTTCTGGTTTTGAGATGTGATTTACGAGGTTGTGGCAGTTACCTGCTGCTGCCACAAGCTCCATTTAGTAGCCTTTAAGTCCCTTATTTCACAGAAAAATCTGGCACAAAAGGTGACAGAGTGTCCCTACCACTGTGCTTTCCCAAGGGAGCTATTCCAGCACTGGCTGTTCTGCTTTCCTGGTGGAGCAGGCCCTGGGGAGCCACAACAAGCTGTGCTATTGCTCGATCTGCTGTGAGACGTGAGCAGCCCTGAGCGTTTGATTTCTCGGAAGGTGAAAGTGATTTCTCATAACATGAGTGCTGATCGTTATTGCTGCAGTTACTGGAATGAAAGGGTTCTCTCTGCCTGGCCTTCTTAGGCCTCTTCTTTGGATGTCTTGACTGACAAAGTCTTTTATCCTCCTCCGCTTGATGCAGGGCTTAGGCCAATTTCCTCCCCCCCTTTCACATGGAGACTGAGGGGTGACCACATTCACATGGGTGAAGTTCCCCTGGGTTTTACTTTGTCACATGTGGCAGCAGAACAATGGCACTGTGCTAAGAAGTGGGAGTTGTGCTTTGTGGATGTTTTTTTCCTATTATTATAGAGACAGCGGCCGAGTTAAGGCTGTAATGAAGGGTCTCTCACAATCACACTCCTATTATGCTTTGAAAAGGCTTTGTGAGCTTTGTGTCTGGTACGTGGGCACTGCAGCTAGACAATCGTTTGCTGGCAGCGTTTGCTGTGAATCATGCCCACAGTTTGGGGGTTTTAGTCTGATGTCCCAAGCATTCCTGTCTCATATTGTATTTCTCCCAAGGACATAGCATCAAATTTAAGCACCCTGAGGAAACAGGACAGGGTTCTGCTGTTTACCTGGCCAAGTCAGTAAGCTGGCCCCGAGGCTTCCGCTGTAGTCTGTGGGAAGGGAAAAGTCCCTCATGAAGACTATCTAACACCCTGTGTCAAACTACAGCTACACTGTCCCAGGAGGAGCTTTTATTCCCTGGGAATTAGGTGTGGTGGAAGAACTGGCTTTGTACAGCTTAGCACCTAAGTCAGGTGTAATGTGCTTGTGAGAATCCCCTGTCCTCTGCTGGGAGCCTGAGTGCTTCTGGGACAGGAGGTGCTTCGGTTTAGGTGATGTCTCTCCCAAAACCATGGTATTCACATGTCTACATCATTTGCAAAGCTTTACATGTGGCTCCCATAAAGGTGATCTAAGGCCCACAAGCATGGGACAGGTTTTTAGGTCTTGTGCCCTTGTGGATAGTGTATGGGACTGGTATTAAGCCCTGCTGGCTCCACTCCCAGCAGGGAGTGCAGTAACCCCGGTACTCCATATTGATTGGGTTTTATATATATATAAAAACTATTGCTGAGAAATTTGAAGTAGAATTGCAGCGAGTGCTTTTGCTTTGTATGTGTCTTACATTGAGTCATATAAAGCTTACAAAAGCCCCAAGGAGTGATGCTTGTATAGCTTTGCTTGTGGCTTTTTTTCCTCTCTGCACCAGGCTTCAAGAAGCATGTGCTTGGCGATGGGAAGGTGGAAGACAGCTGTACGAAGTCACTGCTATCCCCTGGCAGTCTGTGCATTTCTCTGCAGTCCTGGCTGGTGGGAGCTTGCCAGATAGAAAGGCAGTGTAGAGTGTACCAGTGTACCAAGATTTGGAAAACAATTGTTGTGCAAGAACTGACTTTGTTTGCACCTGGGGGGAAATGAATTCTCTGTGCTGTGATGCATGATTTGGATTTAATGTGGGTTTCACTTACAGTGAGCCCATGAGAGAGGCAGCTTCACTAAGAGCAATGCCTTCAGTGGATGAGTTTTCTTAGGATATGGAGTGAAGGCTGGAGGTTTTCTTGCTGCATCTGCCAGTGACATTCTCAGGTTCTGTGTGTCCAGCCTGAGGTGACCAAGCAAACAGTGCAATCTGAGACTGGAAAAGGAAATACAAACACTTCACTCAGCCCTCCTGTCTGCACAGCCTCCCCCAGATACAATCACATCAGCTGTTACCTTTGACAGTACTTGCTGTAGCGCATCATTCATCCCATTCCCTCTGCTTCAGCCATCACCATGGAAAAATATGCAGGTATGATACCTTTCAAGGATGTGTTTATATTTTCTCCATAACTGTTTTCCCTGTACTAGCATTGGGATCTTAATTCCAAGAAGCGCTGAACCCTGCTTTCACATTACTGTGATCCATAGGGAGAAGCTGTGCCAAAGCAGCCTTAATCTCTTCTCAGGGACCTGGCTTGGACAGCACTTTGACATATCTCCATTCCTATGGCAATGTCTGTTCCCTCTCCACTGGGAGCTGAGGGGAGGTTCAGGCTCAGGAGGCTTCAAGCCACCTTTGTGGCACTCTGGGCTGATCCAGCAGCAGATGTGTGCAGCAGCAGCCAGAGCTGGAATAGTCCTACCTTTAGGAAGAGGTGCTAAAGCTTCTCTGCTCCTCAGGCAGTCCAGGGTCCGTGTTTATCAGTGGCTGCCTCAAGCCTCAGCCAGCTCCAGATGCCAGCCCCAGCCTGTTTGAGCCCCAGTTCTGACCAGTAAATGCAGACACAGAAAACAGTAGCTGGACCAGGGGGCAGGATACCTGTTGGAGTTGGAAGTAGATGATCTTTAAGGTCCCTTCCAACCCAAACTATTCTGTGATTCTATTATCTCAGTTAAAGCCCTCTCATCTTTGGAACTTGAACATCTGATCAAACCACAAAGCTCGGGGAATAGTTTCTAAAAGCAGAGCTCTTCTCTGAAAGAGACTGCAGACGTGTTTCATGTTTGTCTCTCAGGGACTTGGTGGCAACTGTGCGTGGCTTGCAAGTACAAAGAAAGGGTTTTTTCCTAACTGTCTGCCCGCCAGCTGCAGGCTGAATTCACAGACCTGAGCTCTGCTCTTTGCATCAACCTCTGAGCAGAGGCTTTGATAGAAGAGCCGAGTGTGCAGCAGCACCTGTGAGCTGGGTCCCGACAGTGTGCGCAAAGACACATCCAGGGAGGTCAGTAGGTAGGGTTCTCGTGCATGAGCTAGAACTGAACCCAGCTCCTGCCCTCCGGCATTCCTTTAGAGAAACAGTGACACTCTTCTGCATGGTGCAGCTGTGCTCTTGCTTGCAATAGTGCCTTCATTGCCTCAGGTGGAGCCTGCCAGAGGGACCTGGGGACGCAGCAGCACTGGAGGCTCACGGGACAAAGAGCTGTTTAAGCACGCTGTTGTTACCATCCATCTAACCAGTGAGCAAAGAGCTGCAGAAGCCATTTCTCAGGTGGAGGTAGAAGAGCTTCTAACGGCAGGGCTGACTACACCTGTAGTGTCTAGATGAGAAGAAGGCAATGTACAGAAGGTAGAAATGCATTGTTTCTCCATATACTCCTGCTTCCATAAGCAAACAGTGATGTTGCTTTCCCAGCCACGCTATTCTCATCTATTTATTCTGTGGCAAGAGTTACTGACGGAAGAGGATTCAGCCTGCACTGCTGGCCTTTGGCCAGGCAGGCTCCTCAGCCCCTCTCATCTTCTTGAGCCCCTCCTGCTGTGCGGGAAGGAAAGAAAGGCCAAGAGCTGGGGTGGCTGCAGGTGCTATTTTCAAGGGGATCAGCAGCCTGGGAGCTGACCTCGGATCCTTGGCTAAGGTTTACCTCACATGCAGCAAGACCAATGACCCCACCTCTCTTATAGTGCCTGGGATTCAGCTGCCAGCTGAGCCATGGTCAAGGTCTCTTCCCTCCTCTTCCTGCTTTGGAAATGAGGGGGATGTAAAAGCTCACAGTCAGGCTGCCACCTTCCACACCAAAGGAGAAACCTTAAGCAGAAGCAAGGAAAGTCATTGGCTTCCTCTGTTCCCTGAACATCTTATGATCTTGGTTATTTCTTAGAGCAGTCAACTCAGATCAGGGCTCATTCCAGCCACAGCAGGCACCAAGCTGAGCTTGGGGATGGGAAAGACTGGCAAGTCTGCTGATACAAACTTCCAGTGGGCAAACCAGTGCTCAGGATCCAGCAATACCCAAGTTTGGGTGACTTGTCCTGTAGGAAACCATGAGCCTTGTGTAGGACCAGAGGCTGAGGGCTCTGAAATGGGGTCAGGCCATCTCCCCAGATGGCAGCTGCTCAATCACTGATGAGGAACAAACTCTTGAGGAGTTTCTCTTTGAGACAAATTCACCTCTTAAAGATTTTGTTCCCCAGTACTTGCTCTTTCAAGCATCCTGATACAAGGCTCTCTTTGCTGTGCATTTGGGTCTCAGAATTAGGTGTGGTATCTGATGGTACAGGAGCTCCAAATGAAGCTTCACACTTGAATGGGGCATTTTATAACTCAGCACCAGCACTTCATTTCCCACCTCCTTCCTCCTCAGGCAAAGGAAGCCTACAAAGAGAGGAGTTCAGAGAGCTGAAGACATGGGGAGTTCAGATGGAACTGGCCAACAGGGGGGCAAAGGTAGATGCAGGCACTGACATGCTCAGCTCCTTTGGCAAACAGCCTCAGAAAGCTGAGGAACAGGCTATGAAAGACAATGTCAAGGTTTATAAAGCATAGTTATGCTTCTAAATGCGTGCTCTGTCCCAGACTCTTCCAGCTGATAAAAACAATAGCAAGCTGTCATGCCTGATTCTCTTTCACCTTTTCAGCCTTACAGCTAGAGGAGAATCCATAGCAACATAGGGAAAGAAAGAGGAGACAAGTTTTCATTCCTGTCCATGGAAAAATAGCCTGTTGGATTACCACCTGGAAACTGTGGGAAGTGCCAACATGAGCAACAAGGGGCCCGTGAACCCTGGCTCATCTACCCTGACTGAGGGCCTGAAGAGAAAGAGGGGAAGACCAAAGAAGCAGCCACAGGTGAGGGCACATCATCCTAAGAGGCTGCCTGAGGATGCTATGTCATCAGCCTGATAGGGTTTGCAGGCGGCCCTGAGAAGCAGCTTGCTAGCAAAGAGAAGGGAAGCTGATGTGTTCTGTGGTACATGTTATTGCTGTTCAGGAAAGAAGCAGTGCTTCCTGGGGCATCTCAGCCCCAGGCTTCAGAGCCGCTTCTAATGTGTCAAGGCCAGGAAATGGGATGAGAGGAGCTAGCTAGATCTTTCTTGCAGTCTGGAGGCTTTTGTGTGTCATCACCCTCTGTTTCTGCAGCAGGCATTAAGTACAGCAGGGAAGGCCAACACCTTTTCTCTCCCTATTCCAGGCACAATGGTCAGAGTCTGGGAACTTGTTTCCCCAGCCCAAAAGACAAAGGGGTAGGGATATTGCTGGCCATCTTCTAGTGCTGGAAAAGCAGAGGCAACCAGGTATTTAGTGGTCTGGGTGCTATTACTGGTTTAAGACAGTCTAACACACATTAAAATGAGAAGCTCTGAGTTGTTCTAGGGATCATCCTGCTGAAATGATTTTTCTCCTCCTACCCCAGGAGGGGGCTGTAGGACCATTGCCAGTGAAAAAACCACGAGGAAGGCCGAAAGGAAGCAAGAAAGTGACTACTGTATCTGAAAAAGTGGTAAGAGTAAATGGCTCATTTTCTTTAATGGGGGACAGTGAAGCTGGCTGTTGCTTCCTTGAAGCACTGTTAGAGGTACAAGCAAGGAGGTTCCTCTTAGCTTAAACAGAGGCAGTGAAGTTGTCCCTAATTCAGCTCAGCTTTAATTGCCACTGTGGACAAACCAGTTATTGTGGGGTTTGTGAGTCTTAACTCACCTCCCAGCCTCCCTGTGCTGCCCCTGCCTGTTCAGCAGCTTCCTTCTAGCATTTCTCTTCCCCTGCTGCTGAATAATCACAACCAGCATAGCCTGGCAGGCGCTTCCTCCTCAGCTGTCCTCTGTCCCCAGCTTTTGTGTTTTCTGCTGCTTGTCTGGCAAGGACTTGACACAAATGTCCCCTTGGCCAGGTTCAGTGTATTTATTAGTCACCGTTCCCAGGAAATATGAGAGCTGAAAATAGGGTTTTTTTTCTCCCTTTGCTTTTAATAAAGGTAGAACCTTCTGCTGGGAAAAGGCCAAGAGGGAGGCCCCGCAAGTGGGTGAGTACAGGGTTTAGTCCTCTTCTTCTCCTCCAATCACAGGCCCTAGGGGGACTTTCAGTTGTGTTTGCTCTTCTCAAGCTCTCTATCTACAATGACATTCTTTCAGCTGAGCTGGCCTGGAAACCTTACACATCAGGGAAGCTCTGACTGCCTTTCTAGTGTCCCTCAGATTCAGCTCCTGAAGAACTGCGAGAGCCCAAGAGAGCTGCTGTACTTAACTAAAGATGTATTAGTCTTCCACAGCTCTTTCCCAGGCTTGGAATGTCAGACCAGAGATTCCATCCTTTCTTGGGCAGAGGGGTTGTCTTCCCAGGGGTCTTGAAAGACTGAAGGGATAGCTTAGCGTGTCAGCTTGTCTCAAAAGGAGAAGCTTAAAATCAAGTAAAGAAATTTGTTGAGATGAAACTTTGAGTCCTGCCAGCAGGAGGCTCTTTCATGCAGCAGACAAAGGCTTAGTAAGAATCAATAAATGAAGATAGAACACTTCAGGCGTGAAAAAGATTAAAGCTTTTAATCAATAAGGATATTCAGTCCTGTGCACAATTCATGTCCTGTTCTCTATTATTAGGAGTGATTAAAAACCCCACAACAGCCACAAACCGTTATTTGGTGTGTATCTGTGACCACAAAACGTTCCAGACCAAACCCGGGTTTGTTCTACAGCTGCAGTGCCACAGGAGTGCTTGTGATGAAAGGAGACACTGGTTCAGCAGGGATAGAGCAGTCTGAGAGGGCTACATAGGAGACTTGGAAGGAAATCTTCACCAGGGAGGATGTTCTAGGATGTGGGAGAGATTCAAAGGCTTTTCTGAAGTGGCAGTGACCTTGGCATACAACTATTTATTGGGTAGTGGTGGAGGGAATCTGTCTGCAAACCCAGTGCAGAACTGAACCTCCCAGACGAGATCTCCTCCATAAACCTGTCCAATTGCCGTTTCATTTGAAATCCAGAGAAGAAGGTCACAATCTAGTTCAGCACCTAGCTTTTACTAAAGGCCATTGCTTTTCCTAAGCCTGTTTAAATACGCTGTGTAAGGAATTCTGGTATGTTACCGGTACTTAAAGCAACCAGCTTTGCAAATTGAGATCATTAAGCTCTGTGGAAAAGCATTGGAAGCAGAAATTGCTGTGTCTTGGAGACCAAAATATCTTACCAGTGAGTTCTGCTGGTGTTGTTCATGGGCTGGCGAATCTCAAAGTGAAGCAGGAGGGCCTAGAAGGGCAGGAATAAAGGACGGTGTTCAAGAAAGCCGAAAGAAGTACATCCTATATAAAGCTGAGGATCCTATGCAGAACAAAGCTGAGAGAGGGTTCCAGGGCAAAGGACAGTTTATAGAACACCTGCTGGTAGGGCTGTTTTGTGGTTAAACTGACAGTAACCGTGACAGAAGAGATGGCTTCAGCCCTGCCTTGTAGCCGTTTGGTGTGCTTGACACAGATGCAGAGAGAGACCCCTCTTCCCTACTGGGGACAGGCTCCTGCAGTGGCAAAGGAAATAGGGGCAGCCAGGCAGTGCTGAGAACTTGCTGACATCTTTGGGGGCACAAACACTCATAGGGGTGCTGTCAGAAGCTAACATCTGAAATCAAGCCAGCTGGGATAGTTTTCTGTCCTATATTCTCTTTTTTGTTGTTGGTGGTGGTAAAGTGCAATTTGAAAAAATAATGTTTTCCATGGAAGTTATTTTTCTGTTACAACGATCTCATTAAAACACTTCCTTATAAATTCAGGTGGCACTTCCTTGAGACATTTATGCCACACAAAGCAGCAAGGCAATGGTTTGGGGCATCCTCATAGCTCCCAGGATCTACTAAAGTGATACCAAATGTCTGGTGCCCCTCACCTGTGTGTGTACCTATACTGCTGCTTTTTACTTGCTTAGAACCATTCAGGTTGGAAGGGCCCACTGGAGATCCTGGAGTTCAAACCACAGCTCAATGCAGGCCTAATTGGATCAAGGTGCTCAGGGATTTGCCCAATCTGTAAACACCTGTAGCATGCTAGAAATACTTTATAGCCATCTCATCTATAGCAAGCTACAAGTGAGGCTGGAAAAGACTGTTTGGCCATTCTCTTCTGTAAGAGGGTGTAGTAGCTGCAGTTCTAGGGTTAGGTTGGGGTTAAAGTAATTCAGATGTGTGCCAGAGCTGGAAGTTGGGGTGTTTGTTACTCTAAACAATGAGCTGCAGAGTCATTTGTAAGAAAAGCTTAAAGAAATCTTTGCTTTGTGCCAATTCATTGAGTTGAAACCTCTTTGTACACCGGCTGCTTTTTCTTTACAGCTCATTCTCACATGGGTTAGTGATGTATCCGTTCAAAATGAATTGAATGGCTGAGGAGTGGTTTGGGGTAAAACCAAAGCAGGAGAAACAGAGCAGGCGTTTTGTTTTAGTTGCTGATGGGCAGTGTTTAGTTGTTAAGGACAGGAAAATATCCTGAGCTATAGAAGGTATTCTCAAGGATGCAAATCTTTCTCCATGGCTGCGTAATGAGGAGGTGTTTCCCAAAGCGTGGGGCTGTTTGTCTCTGAGACTGGCATGATGGATTCTGAGAGCATTCAGAGATGCTCATGAATGAGTGTGGACACACTGGCGCTTGCTCTTGCCTGTGGTTGGATATAGGAAGCGGTGGCAAATGGACACTCTCTCACGGCTGTGCCGTCCTATTTAAGCCTATCAAAGGCTTTTTTGCTTTCCACCTACTTTATGTCTTTGCAATTTTGTCTTTTGATACCTAATTTTATCTGGGGGGGGTTCTCTGTTTTCGGTGTTTTTCTTTGTAGCCTCAACCAGTGGCCAAAGGAGAAGCATCTCAGGAAGGAAATCCTCAGGGAAGCAGTGACTTGAATTCAAACTCGGCACCAGCCACACAAGGTTTGTAGTTAGATCATTACACAAGGCTAAACTGTGCAGCATGCTCCTGGGAAACCACACTAGCAAACCCAAAGCTTTAGCACTGGTTGCAGTCATTCTGGTAACTTTTAAAACAGAAGAGAATTTGGAAGGCTTCCAGGCCCATTCTAACAGGAGGGGTAGCACATTCCTTCCATCTTGATTCAGTTGTGGCTACTTCAACAGAAGTGGAGGCAGAAAAGAGGGATGGGAAGAGTATCTACATCTTTCCAGGAAGTCCTGTGTCTGAGGTTCTGGTCACTCTTATAGGTAAGGTTCAGCAAAATTGTCTGGCTGTGTTATGTAGGAAATGAAAATAGCCTACCATGAATGTCTGAACCTTACCCAAGTTAAAAAAATTACAATCCCTTGACATGGGGAACATCCTGGTATTCTGGATTAACTCCATGGTAGTCTTGTTCTCTCCTTCCTGGCTTGTACTCAGGGCAGTGCTATCTGCACTAGCATCTTCCCACTAATATCAGTAGCACTGGCAAGTTTCTATATAGGGCTGCAAAGTTACCTAAGCTGCTTTGAGATGGGTTGGTCAGATAACTTATTGTAGAATCATAGAATGGTTTAGGTTGGAAGGGACCTTAGCATCATCTACTTCCAACCCCTTCCATGGGCAGGGACACCTCACACTAAATCATGTCCAACCTGGCCTTGAACACTGCCAGGGCTGGAGTTGTGAAAACTTAGAGCTGTACCACCCAGAGCCCCAGCCTCGCTAAAACCCTAGGGAAGTGCAAATCCAAGTCCAGCCCATCCATTCAGGGCTTTTTCTGTGGTAGATGCAGGGAAAATTTGCGTGCAGCTGAGTCCTACCTTCAGTGGGCATCAGAGGAAGCTATTCATTATATCCTTTCCCTTGAGGGGGAAGGGGCCAGCAACCCAGGAGAGGCAGATGTTGCTTTGTTCTGCCATGCAGAACAGCTGCTCCCTCATCCCTTGGCCGTTAGCACTGTTGAGCGTGGCGTGTGAAGCGAGCTAACTGACACTGAGCACCCAAACCCAACCTCAGGTTCTTAGAAGGTCCCTGGAAAAGCCACATGATGCAATGCCAGAGCAGTTAACCTCAGCTGCTCAACTCAAGTTTCCTCTCGGGCTCCTGCTCCCGTATCATTTCCTGCCACTGAGTTGTGAGATGACATCGGCACAGCCGCAGGCTCACGGGTGATGAGCTCACCTCCGGCCCTGTCCCTGCCTTTCAGTACTGCTCTTGAGCATCACCCAAAACCACATGTGGGGACTTTCTTCTTCCTTTCAGTGTGAGTGGGACTGAGAGCGGTGACATGAGGAATATGTTTCCCTTCTGTTGCAGTGAGGTAGAACCAGATGTGACAGGATAAGCGGATGCTGCGGTCAGTGGGAGACAGCAGTGAGGCACATGGTACCACAGCCCAAACCACTGTGTGTCTGCACGCTTAGTGCCAGGGATGGAGCAGGGGGGTACTGCTGGGGAAGGTGTGCACATCTGTAAGGAAAGAACACAGCCAGGATGTCAGGGGGGATAAGCATGTACAGAATGAAACCTGGCAGTCCTCTGGAAGACTTCATAACAGTTATTTGCTCAGGAGCTTGAGGTGGAGTGAGTGATAATCCTGTCTTAGAAACTTCTGAGTAAAAAGGGAAAGGGGAAACTTAGTGTTCTGACTTACTGGAAACTACAGAGCTTGTGGCTTGTTTGCAAGGTATTACATGCCTGCACGCTTTTGTGCTACTCGTGCAGGAGGCTACTGCTCTGAGATTTGTTAGCAAGGAGTCTGTAATTATATATTAATCTTTTGCTATAGGCACAGACAGAGCTTTTGGTCATTGTGGGGTTGGTTAATTTGACTTTTCCTTTCAGGTGAGGATTTTTGAGGTGCTGTGCTAGAGTGAGGGCATGGGAGGATACAGACGCTTGCTTGTTCTGAAGCTTGTAAGCTGTACAGCCTTGAGAAGGAGTTCTGCCCTGGGTTGTATGTCTGCAGCATTAAGAAAGAATTGCTGAAATAAACCCTGACTGACTCCCTGCTTCCCCATCAGTCGGTTATGGGGAAAATGAAGACACAGGAAGAGCTGAACTGGAAATATGCAGGACTTGCCTGCCATGGGGCAGACAGCTGCTCTAAAGCTGGCTGATGTTTTCCCATGGCCTTTACCTAGAGAGCCTGCCCTGGTTTTCCCAAGGTACTGGTTATGGTGACTCTAGGCTCTTAAGCCACAAAAGCAGCCTTGGTTTCTTTCAGTAACTTTGCTTGGCTAAGGAAGTATGGGTGTGAGAAGGAAAGAGTTTGCTTTAGGGCAAAGTCTCCAAGGGTCAGCCTAAAGCCAGAAGCAGCTTCAGGATCATGCTCCTTTCTGTGTTCCTTTCCTTCTCAAGTACACTGAGTGATGGGGCAGCTGCAAACTCCTTTGTCTCACTTTGTTCCCTCTGGATCACTTCCCAGTGGCCACCTCAGCTTTCCTGCAAGTAAGGGGCAAGCTGCAGATCAGAGCAAGCCTGTGTAGCCAGAAATGTCCTTCACTCGCTATTTTCAGACCCCCCCGTGCATCTGCTTCCCTGGTGTTTATGACATTGGGCACTTCTGGTACTTTGGTGGATTGAGAGTTCCACTTAGGAATACATAACTGCTCGCAGCAGATGCTTGTGTAGCAGAGGCCAGGGAATTTCACACGGAGTGTAACTTATGGGCTGTCAAGAGTAGCCTCATGCTGAGGCCTGCTGCCAGGGAAGCCATCCTGTCAGGTTTTAGCCTGGAGCTGGTACAAGAATAGGAACGTTGTTAAGATCTTTGGTTGTTTGGGAGTGGGTCCTTGCCACTTTTTAACCTTGCCAGTGACTCACTAATGGGGCATTTGGGCAGGTAGGCTCCTGGTGCCGGAGCTCTAACCTTCTCTCTCCCATGATCTTTCCTTGTAGGCATCACTGGAAAAGATGGTTCCAGGCCCGACAAAACTCCTGATCGTAGGAGATCTCTGGGTAGCATCCCTGCCACAGATCAGTAGTATTCCACCTGTCCACACCTTGCTAAAGCCAGAGGACTGGGAAGCAAACATGAGTTTCAATGTCCTATTTCAGATTTTTCCTTTGTGATAACTTTGGCCAAGCTTTCTCTCCTGTTGTCTGCTGCCTTACCTCAGACATCCAAACAGGGACTCAGGGGAAGAATGGCAAATGCCTTGTTGGAGAGATGCCTTTCACAGTTTGTATGTATCTTTTGTAGGTATATTAATCTTTCTTAAAAACACTTGGATAACATGGTGCCTTACCCTGCTATGGACAGCAAGAGTTGAACAGAAACATGGCATTGACTCAGTAATGCAGATACAGTAATGGAAATCTATTTACACAGCTAATTGCTGAACTTCTGTATCATACCACCTTGGGTGGATTGATGGAGCAGTCCCAAGAGCTAAGTTTTACACAGTTGTGTATAGGGTTTGCATCTGAAAGACAGGTTTTGTGTCCTCATGGCATTTCCAGCTTGCTTAATGCTGTTGCTGTAGTGGTCAGTATGCTGACCACTTGTATGCTTTAGAGGGAAGTTCCCACCCTCATGTCTTGGGGAGTTTATCCTAGCATTATCAACTCGGGGCCATCTCCTATAATTAGTTCTCAGCCTGGTGGCACTCCCCCTGAATGTGATAGCAGCAATAAGTGCACAGTGCTGACAAGCTTAGTCACAGCCACTGGATTTCACCACTCCAAAGGCACGTCTCTAAGGAACCAGCTACACAAGGGTGGTTTTCTTGCAGAGCCTGGGATTTGGTTTAAGTTAGTTGTATCTTCAGTTCCATAGGTACGTGTGTGGGGTCCTCTAGTGTTGCAGTTATGCAAATAGAAGCCTGCTGATACAGTTTAGTTTTGGGAGACGGCAGCAGCCAGTGGTGTGAGGCCGTAGCTGCCTGCTCTCAGTCTCACATTGTGTGCAGATTTGTGCTTTTGGTGTCAGAGCTTGCCTTGGTAAATGCTGAGGGACTGAGGATGTTTCCAATATCCAGTTGCAAACAGTGAAATCCCAGTGGTATTTTCCACCTTGGATGTTCCATCAGTGGATGTTCCGCCTGCCTATTACAGGGGCAAAGTGGGTATTTCAATTATATTTGACAAGATGTAAAATTGGCTAGTTTTACAGTGTTAAATATTTCAACAGAACATAATTGGCTTTAAATTTATGGCAGTGCCTAGCAGAAACCCATGAAATGGCAGTTTATATTGAGTCATTTATTATCCTTTCATCAAAGGTCTGTTCCCTTAGCAGGTATTTATGTAACACAAGAAAACGTATGCAGATTTCAGAGGAAGGGCTCATTGGAGACAGATGATAAGAGTTAAAAAAGAAGGTTGTTTGCCTTCTAGGTCATTTTTTCTGGTTGCCCAGTTTGGCAGTGATGAGAGTCCTGATCCTGTTCATTCTCTGTCCAGTTTGTCCTGGCAGTAGTTTCTTGTGTATGGAGTTTGGTGGTCTCAGGAGAAAACAGCATCACAGATAACCTTTGTGTCTCCTCTACCACGTAGCAGAGAAATCAAGGGTTGAATGGATTAGGTCCCAGGGACTGAGCTAACTCTTAAGCCCTAGGATGCTGCCAGGTATGGGAAGAGTCTGACCCCCTGCTCCTGCTGTGTGGATAAATCCAGGCAGGACATCATGCACACAAATCTGTAACTGTTGATGGTTGCATGAGAAGATGCAAGTGGTGCTCCTCTGAATCCAGCTTACGGAGCTGCTCTTCCGCAGGGGACACACAAGCTCAGCAGCAGTTCATGTCTGCATTCAGAGGCCACCCCAGTGGCAGATCAAGCTATTTTACCAACTTCTTTACCTCGTTCTTCAGGTGAATTGGCAGGTTTAGTACCCTGCTTGCAAGGCTGTACTGCCCATTAGATTAACCCCTCCTACCTGAGAGTAATAGCTGTTACAGTGTAAGGCTGGAACTTCAGCTTCTCCTAATGGATTAGGAATTGCATCTGTAGGAGACTCAAGCTTTTCTTATGACACCAGTCACAGCTTTCTCAGCTGGTGGCATGGAGTAGGGATGAAAACTGCTAGATAGTAAATCCATTTGCTGCAGGTCAGCTCTATTCTGTGGGACGTGCATACAAAGTACTTAAAAATTAAAATCTATGGTCTTTGCTACCTCTGAATGCTCTTTGGGGAAGCCACAGTAGACAACTGTAGACAACACAGTAGACAACACAGTCTCCATAAAAATACAAGTGCTCAAGGACAGCAAGCAGAATTCCACACTATTAGGAGCTACTCTGTGTGCAGTTGAAATCCCAGTTCATAACTCCAGCTTCCAGGTTTATGCAGACTTGGAATGAAAGTCAATGCCTGTTAAAGATGGGCGGAATACCAGCCAACTGCAGAGAGCTAGGATCTCACATTGGAGTGCCTGGATTTTCTTTGTTGAAATGATAAAACGCTCGTTACTTCCCATATAGTGAGTTACCTTCTCTGTAGTCAAATCCTACCTCTAAGCACATGCATTCCAAGTGTTTTTAAGCTCAGACAGTTTAGGTCTGACTCAGTGAAAAAGAAGATGTTGTTTCAGTTAGATTCTCATAAATGGTTTTGGTGAAGGCATAAAGCATGTTGGCAACTTGCAACTGAGCCTTGGAGTTTGTTTCGAATAAAGGTATAAAACATAGCACCTCAGGTTCCTGCTCTTCCTCCTCCTGTGCCACAGCCTCAGCACACATGCGTGTCACCAGCCAAGGTGGGTTTCTCTTCATCTGAATTGGTGTTTTAGGAATTCTAAACCAAAACTTGGTCGTTCAGGAGCACCCACAGATCTATGTGCAAACAAGGAATAATGAATATGAGGAAAACACATGGAGGAAAACAGGCCCTTAAACCCAAATGTGAGTACTTAATTCCATCCTCTTGTATGTCTTATAGTACCTCGTAACTGGCTTGATGGGAACACAAGCCTATTCTGCTTGCTGTGTACATCCAGAAGTCTCCACAGCTGTGTCTGTTTATGCCCTGTGTTGTTGTGTGTGTCATACAGGTATTTAGCTTTTCATACAGCTAATTCTGTTCCTGGGCAGAGCCTTTTCAGTTAATGTGGCAGCTTTCCTAATCAGTTCCAAGTCTGGGGTCTGTGGGCCAGAAGATGAGGCAGAAAGCAAATCTGAAATACACCAACAGTATCCTCATGGAACTACTGCTGCCTAAAGTGCTGACCCCAGTGTGGGCAGGAGCTGATGGCCCCCTAGTTTGTCCAGGAATTCAGCTGGTTAAGGGATATATGGCAAACAAACAAGTTAGAATTTGTTTTCCTGCACTCTGGATGCCCAGGATCTGCTAGGCTGGAAGCTCTTGCTTTCCTGACTATTCCACTGAGCACCAAGATCCTCAAGAGTTCTGAGGTTCCATGCTGTGGAACACTAAACCTTGACCCTGAAGAGCTTGTCACAGGCTGCTTACTTCAGCCTGTGAAAGAGTGGAGGAATTCACTCACAGATCACCAACAGGTAGCAACGATCCACTCCAGCAGTTATCTGGGGAAAATGCAAGTGATGTGGGGCAAAAAAGACAACCAGACTGGGTTTCATGTAAATAATTTAATTAGATTTCAATGCTTAAACCACTTGAATTAAATTACATCATAATGCTTCTGCAAAATTGTACATATACTTCCAAGAACTGTGAGAGGAGGCGCTACTGAACGAAAAGAATACTCCAGTACCAGCCAACCTAATACCCATAATATTCTTTTAGTCCTGTTATCTGTACCTCTTTAATCTAAGGGCAGTCATCACAGGACAAAGCCTACCATTACAGGAAGAATACTCCAAGAGAATTCCTCTGTAGGTGTGTTTGTTATACAAGATACAACTCAGCATTCATGTGGAACAAGGTGCAAGTGTTCACACCCGAGCTGGCAGATGCCCTGCTTGGCAGCTGCCTGTGCAGCACGTGGGCTTGGGTAAGGAGCACAAAGTAGGCTGTTGGTTTGAGGCATCAGCTCAGCTTACATCTCTCTTCTATTGGGTTGGAAACAACAAATGAAGTTCCAATCCTAAGAGTTCTAAGGGAAATGCTGTGATTCAGGGCAGCCACGCACCCCTGCTGCCGCTTGCATCCCTGTCCTGCTGCGACATCTGATGTCACCGAGCACTTGGAGGAGCTGGGAAGTGTGCATGTGTGTGTGTGGATGATGTATTTGTTTCCCAGCTGCTCCCACAGACATAACCTCTGGGGAGACCCACCAATAGTGTCTAAATTCTAAGCCAGATTACAGTATTTTTACCTACACACTTTCCTTCCAGCAGTATCCCTGGAGTGCAAACACCAGCAGCAACCAGCAACCCAGGAGTGCGTCCTGCCAGGTACCCTGGGTATGGAGGATGGGCTGTTTTCCACAGGTAATAACATTCTGAGCTCTAACAGGCTCCCAGAACTCCCTGCTTTTACAAGGAAAGAGGGATACTGAAAACTGAAAGCAACTTAACCCTGCAAACCTGCCGTGAGGTGTCAGTGAAGGAGGGAGGGCTGTAAGGAACTGTGCACCGCAGGGTCAGTGGCACGTGCCCAGGAATAAGTCTGCATTTAGTAAATATGGAAAAGAAACCAACAAAAGCACAGTGGGGAAGAACAAAACAAGATTTGGGAGAACAAAACCGAACTGGCAGGTCCAGACTTGCAACAAAGCACATGATACCTGAATTCCCACTCAGTGAAATGTCTCCTTGCATAAGCCTACCTTTGAAATCAGTGTTCAAATTGTGGCTTGCCCTGATTCCCTTTTCACAGGTGCTGTGGATGGAATATGATCTGACAAATGCATGTACTGCAAAGAACTCCGGTGATCAGTGAATGGCTGGGCACTGATGCTCATGTGCAGGCTCTGCTGGCCTGCTCTGCAGCATGCGGGGCTGGTGGCCACCAAAAGGCTCTGCAGAGGATGGCCCCATGCCAAGGTGGCCAGAGAACCCTTCGCACTCTCCTGCAGCCCTGAAGGACACACAGGTGGAGATGCTGCAGGGTTATAGGGGACTCCTGGCCTAGTCTCACCTCCTGCATCAGCAGAGGCTAACACAACTCTCTGTTTCCTTCAGCAGGGAGAAGAGAGGGCTCTGGCTGCAGGTCCTGGCAGGTAAGGAAGGATGAAGCGGTTGTTCAGTCACCTCTGGGGCAGACATGGGGCTGTTGTGATGCTGGGTCAATACATGCTTTTCCTTATCTAACAGAAAATATTTCAGGGCTTAATCTTCTTCCTGGATATTGCTCTGCACCATCAGAACTTTCCTGAGCCAAAGCAGGAGGGGGATGCGTGGCACTGGAACCGCAGTTCTATTCAACTCCTCTCTGTGGCCCAAGTACCATTATTTCTAGATCAGTAGCAGCAAGTCACGTAGACAGTCACTGACACCCCTGCCTCTAGCCTAGCTCTGGGAATTCTCCTCTCTATGGCAGCTCTAGTTTGGGATATTCCGCCATGTCCTCAGTTAAAGATGTAATCAGCCAAATCTTCACCATTTCAATGTTTAAAGCTAGTGACTTCCCCATACTACATCACTCTGGGTGCACATTTATCAGCAGCCCACAGGCCACAAGGGGGATAAGCCCATGGTATGTGTTGTCTGTGGCGTGCCTCAGATTGCACTCAGCCAGGGGAGTCAGCTCTCCTTGCTCAAAGGGCTTTGCCACCCCTCCAGGATCTGCCAAAGCTGTGCTCACTGTACAGAGAGGCTCATTCATCGCTTTCCTCGGGGTCTGGTGGCACAAAACCAACAGGGAAACTCTCTGAAACGTGCACCTCTCCTCCTTCCCTGACCCAGAAAGTGCACCCATGTGCTCTGACAAGTTAACCTACAACAAAGCAGGCGCTGTTCCTGAGCACGCAGCTTGGTAGATGGTATCAGCCAGCACCAGCCCAGAAACTGGAGCTCAGGACCTTTTAGTGATAACACACACCAAAAACCCACCGGTGCCATCACACAGGGTTTGCTTCCCAAAGTGACCAGATCCCAGTGCTTGTGGCCATTTGTAACACAAACCAAAGGGGTGACCAGCTGGGCTCAGTGGACTGGCCATGCTCGTGGGAAGTCACTGCTTTGTTGGCTTCATCCTCCCCAGTCTCAGCACGATCCCAGAGCAGGGCAGGTACTGTTCATGCATTGATGGCATTGGCAACGTCTGCGAACACGAGACGGCTGGGTCTCTGGAGGGCTCCTTGACTTGTCAGCAGAATCTGCATTGAAGCAGTGAAAGATGAGACCCAGCAAGCCTGCCTTGGCTCAGGTGCATGTGCTTGGGCACACCCTGCACAGGATTGTAACTACATTCTGCCCCTTGCTAAGGGGAGACTGGCTGACTAACATGGCATTAACACTGCTGCAATGGGAAAATACAACAGGCCAGTGAGCAAGTCAGCACACCATTGCCAGTTCAATTATGCCCACATCACTGGAGTACTGGTTCTCATTATTTATATCAATGCAGCATGAAAGGACTTGAAACACCAAGAAGGCCTCAAAACATGCCATAGACTGAGCTTTGTTGTTTTAGACTCTCTTATGTTAAGCCTTTAAAGTTGACATTTTCCAAGCAGAGGTATCTGTGCATCAGCACGCTCTAGAGGGATCTCGGGTATCCTGCTGGCCAGGCCCTGTATAGGAAGGATCTGCTTTTACTGTGATGGTTTATCTCTGGCCGTGTCATTTCTCCCTTTGCCACCTGAAAGGAAACGTTTACTAATAGAGGGATCTGATGTTTTCCCAGTGTGTGCTACTCAGGAGGACAAGATCCTTTGCTTTTATACAACAGTATTTCTTGCTTTGCCAGACCAGTGTATGGAATATGTTGACTTTCATATTCCAACACACACATCTCCTCTGTGCTCTTCAGCACGTTAGGAAGCACGTCTTAAGGTAAATATTGTATAATTACAGTGGTACTTATTATCTCCTCTTTCTGTTTCTGCCCACACTAAGCTTGCTGCAGGTAATCTGAAGGTGTAAAGCGTGGGGAAACTGAGAACTGTTTGGGAGAACTCCTGGAACTGGAAAAGTAAGGGAAGACATGGGCAACACGGAGCAGCTGGAGAAGAATTCAAGGAGAGATGTCTACTCGTAAGGGGAGGCTGCATCACTGGCTAAAAGACATACCTGTTCCAACCGTGCCTGCTGGCTCTGGCTTTCAGATGGGCTTTTTGTGTGGTGGTGGTGACAAAGGAAAGAGAAAACACTGTGAAGGTGGCTGCAAACAATGGTGAGAAACCCTTCTTCCCTGTTTCTCCTAATTCTTGCTACACTTGGTACACATCTGTCAAAGACCCATGTGGACAGCTGGCCAAGTTATTAAGCTCTTTCCTAAGTCACAAATGTAGTAAGTCAGTGCTCTCTAATGGCCTTGTAATATCTCAGCATGCTGCATGCCTTTGGAAGCTCAGAAGTGGTCAAAGTAAAAGCTTCTTTCCCTCTTCCCAGATTCAAAAAGAGAACCCTCATCCTTTTACTCTTTCTGAGCCATGCCTGCTCTGTGCCCAGCAAGGTTGGCCTGGAGGTGCTGGCAACACCAGATGTGCCATGCCATAACAAATTGCAGGCTTTCTGCTGGTGTTCTTCAGGGCTGGCAACACAGTTAGCTGTTAGGATTACAGGCTTTCCCTCAGCAAGGCCTTGTTCCACACTTGCATGATTAGACAAAGCTGGGCTCCCTTAAAACTGGGTGGGAATTACTTGCTTTTCAGGGCCAGGACAAAGGAGCCTCAGTATTTTGTGGGCATTGAAACCCCATCTCCCAGAAAATTACATTCATCCTAGTGCTCCCTACTGCACATCTTACTGTGGTGCCCTGGGTGGTAAACTGTAGTAAACGCACCCTTAATTACTGACGTTGCCCTTTTCTCTTGCCTAGTTGAGTAGAGCCAGCACTCTGCCTCCCCAGGCTCTTTGTCCTAGCTGTCTAACCCTTCAGTCTATCCTAAGCACTCCAAAATGCTCAAGCCCCCTATCTCCAGGGCTGGCAGAGATGGAACAAGTACTCCCGAGGTCTTACATGATTTCTTTACCCTACAACCCTATAAAGAACTTCCTGACCCTGTATCAAAAGCAGTGTAGGGACCAGTGGTTGTAGTAACAGACTCGCTGGTCCCTGCTGCCTACCTTGCTCTGTGATGCCTGGGAAGATGCTGCATCTCGCCCATGTTCCAGCAGCTCCTGCTCCAGTTCATCCTGTTCCTCAGTGGGATCAAAGTTGTACATGGGCATGAGCTGGTGCCGTAGCTTCTCCAACCTGCCCACAGGAGGGAAGGAAAAGGGTTGGTTGAGAAGGATGGATGCTCAGGATGCCTTCCCTGCCCAGTGCTCAGGCTTTCTGCAGGCTATTTCTCCTGCTGTAAAGGGATTCTGCTCTTGTTGCTCTTGCTGGATAAGGGTTATGTCATGTCCTGCCCTGCAGGGATAAGAACCTACTGCACATAGCTGGCAGGAGTAGAAGATACCCAGAGAGCAGTTACAGGGATTAACTGCCATCACTAAGCTATGCTGGGAGGCATTAGTCACAGAGGGATCAGACACGGATTTAAATTCCTGCAAACCCTAAAAGATCAGGCTTTCTGTGGTGGGACAAAGACAGTGAACATACTGCCTAGGCACGTTGTGACTTTTCTCCCTGTCCTTCTGCCCACAACAGCCAGCCCTGCCATGTCACGCTAAGTCTGCCAGCAGAAGTCCACTTCTGGCTCAAGTGGCCTCAGAGTAGTACTTCAACTCTGGGGCTGAAATACATAAAAATGAATAGAAAACAATAAAAAGGAAACAGGAAAGAGATTCTCACAGGAGGCTGATGCTCGTGGACAGACTGTTCTTACTCTTGTATCGCTGCTCCAAGTGACAGAGCTATAAACTATTACCCCATGGAGCCTTCCTCAATACTGGGCAGCTCAGAGATGGAGGATGGGTGGGTGGGCATGCTCCTGTGGAAACACTGAGCCCTGCCTTAGGCTGTAGCTGAGTGTTGGGGGTGGGAAACACACAAGTAGTTACTGGCAGTGTCACCACAAATATCTGTTTTGGCAAGTGTTAGGATGACACACTCCCTCCCTGCTTCTATATGGGTTTGCCAATACAACCATTACCTCCAGCAGTGCTATGTTCACAGGCCAAGCATTAGCTGCTCCTGTGGCAGTAGCCAGACCTGGGCTTCAGGGTCTGGCTTTGGAATTTTACAGTGGGCAGCAGCCCTTCTTAAGTGTGTTAAGTGAGCACAGCTCACTTCATGGCCACACCAGGAGTCAAGCATGGAGAAGGTACCATATCTAATGGGTCTTCTTCAGCAGTGTCTCAGCTGTCAGAGACAAAATAATTAAGACACGTCTCTCTGCATGCTGCTCTCATCTCTGTTTCTAGCCAGTAGCTTAACAAGGAAATCAAGACACTAAGTTTCGGGGTAGATAGCTGCACCTCTACACTACGCTGCTGCCAGCTGCTGTGACTGCAGCTTAACAGCCTGTCAGCCTTGCAAGGCCAGTGTCATTGCCCAGCCTGTTGGAAAACACAGGGATCTGGGAATGGCTGAAACGTGAGATCTGCACCTCTCATGGCAAAGTTCCCAGTTTCTTTGTACACTTGTGAGCCTTTTCTCTGTTTTAGTGCATCCCATAGATAAGCATGAAGAGTTTGCAGGATCCGTAACGTCCTCCTGCTCATCCATGTTTTCCTTTCCAAAGCTGCAGAGGAGTCTTTGATGCTTTGGTGATAGAAAGTGGGTCAGCACCATGAGTGCAGTGTCCCTGCCTCTGCCTCATTCACACACCTGATTCCCTGGACAGCCATCCCTTGCACTCTCCCCATCTTGCTGTCTCCTTCCCAATTCTCTGAATTTTGAGGGCACTGAGATCCCTTCAGCCAACAACAGATGTAACTTACCTCTTCCTCTTCCTGATATACAGAACCTGAAGGAGAAAGAAAACCATCATTAAAACAGCCCCAGCAGGATGGGGAAGAGGAATTTTGGGCACAGGGCACACAGAAGGGAGGTGCAGCAAGTCTGGTGTCACTGCACACTGAGGCAGGGGGAAGGGAGAAGTGACAACCAAAAATGAAATTCCATAGGCATCAGTGTAAGCTTGGTGGCACACCATGTCTGAGACTAAGTGCTCCAGTAGCCTGTTATTAGGTGTGTTAGTAGTGGTAAGAGTATTAGGTGTATTATTATTATTATTAGGTGTAACTCAGCACATTTCTGGTGGCTGTAGAACGTGTATTGCAGTTTAAGAGTGGATGAAGAAGGTTCTCTTTGTGATTTCCACCTGTAAATTCCCTACAGTGCTGAAGTGCTATAACCCCCTCCCCAGTATGAAGGGAAGAAGCAAAGAGGGCATGCTCAGTGACTTGCCTCGTGTCAGCCAGTAAGAGTGGCTGTGCTGGGAAGAAAGGGAGGCTTTTGGCCTCCAGAGCCTCGTTCTGAGAACTACGAGCGCTGGATGTTGCTCTTGGGAACTTATGACCATTTCCAGGATAACGTTTCCAGGTTGTTAAGGGCTTTTGGAATAACTCCTCCTTGGGCCTGCAATGAAATGTTGCAGTAGTCCCTCTCTGTAGTCTCCTCTGGTGGCTGTATTAGTGAAGCTCTTCCTCATACGAGGAATGGGAGCTTGCTGCTACCTTCTGTTCTCTGTTGGCAGGTAAATGATGTAGTTATATATCAGAAGAAATGCAGCACTTGCATTGCCCATGTCAGGCCCAGAACTATAGTTTCTGAAAGCTTCTGCCTGTGCAGAAGCATTAGTGGCATGTTTAGTTACACAGCAAACCCTCAAGCACTTTACTAATACCCAGCAAGTAGAACCTTGGAAATACAGCCCAGAATGAGTCTAAATAAAATAGATCCAGGCTGTTTTCATTCAAAAAAGGCATGACCAAAGAGGAGATAAATGTTTTCAACAGTCTGCTTTAAAAGTCAGTTTGGATGAACTTTCTTGCAGGGCCCCAGTGTTGACAAGGTTTAAATCAACGCAGCTGTTCCACTTCAGACAGAACAGAATTTGCTTTGTGTTCTTTTAACTGAACTTCCTATTGCTAATAAAAATAAACACTGATGCTACATATGGCTTCCTCTAAGCCTGCTGAGCATCCTGCTTGGATTAGACCTCAAGGAAACTGCAGAAATACAGAAGCACTGGATAAAGGCCTTATAAAGAAAGGGATCTCAGGAACAATCAGGTCCCAGGAGTTCTGGGTGAACCTTTAGCTGAATGCAAATAAGTTATTGAACCCAGATCAGTCCTAGAACCCCTCTGCCACCCTCAACAGGCCACAAAATATTTATCAGGGCTCTCTTACCATAGCTACGGCCAACCCAATCACAGTAATGATCCCAAAGGACAGCAGCATCGTGCTCAGGCCGGGTCCAGTGCTGGTCACATCTGGGATTTTGGTGCTGTTGAAACTGGTAGTCTCAGGGCTTACAGTAGCTGTTTCTGGTACAGTCACATCCAGAGTTGTCCCTGGGTCTGGCCTGGCTGTGGTGGTGGTGGTGCTGTGATACAAGTCATGCACAGAAGGTGAACTGTAACTCATCCTGTCAGCTCTTGATAGCTCCTTTTAACAACGTGTTGTCCTCACCCATCAGCTACAGAAGCGGAGAGCTGCCCTCCATATGGTGGCCCCTCATGTGAGACCTGTCCTGTAGCATCACCGCTGATGGTTTTCTTCATAGGAACCTAGAACAGAATGAGACAAATGAACAGTGCAGAGCTCTTAAGAGATAGGCAGAATATTTCCCAAAGCTTCCCAAGTCACCAGTACAATTGTTGAGAGCAGTCCACAGATGCTCACTGAAGAGTAAGATGAGCTATGCCTCATTCCTTGAAGTCAGTCATACACTCTCCCCTTATGGCTTCAGCTCTGCCTCCTTACAGGGCAGATATATGTGTGGACAGCCCCAGAACCCCACATCTTTGGTCTGCTCCAGGCTGAGCCAGGAGGCCTCTATCCACCACAGGAGATACAGGGTTTTCCTGCTTCTGACTCCTGCTGCTTGTTTTTGGAAAGTTACACAGATCCCCTTATCAGTGGGAGCATATCCAATAAATGGCATTTGGCTGTGAAGCATCTGTATCTCAGGATGCTTTTTGTTGCATCCAAAGTAGGACTTCCCTGGTGTGGTAGGCACTGGTGGCTGGTAAGTCACTGCGCTATCCATCACCCCACTGTCCCTCACCCCATGCACTCTGTAAAGGCAGCTTCCCTAGAGCAGTGAGTTGCAGGGAGTATTTCTCAAGTCCCCCATGAAAGCACCCACTCAAGCTTAGTCATGCACTTCTTATTATCACTATTAATTTTAAAATGAGTCCAATTTTGGTTTGAAGTTGTGAAATTTGATGGATCTATTCATGCCCAAAACATGAAAGTCTTTAATTGCTTCATGCTTCTATTGTGCAAATGATCAGGAATTGCAAAACACCATGGGGATGATCCTATGGGAATTATTTCCAAAGCTTTGTTTATAAACCCACTGTTTATAACATCAGTAACAACTGCTTCCATGAAAATGCAGCTACCTCTGGATCAGAGCAGTGCCAACCCCAAGAACTACTGCAGCAGTCCTGGTAAATTCTTTGCAGTTGAGCAGACGTTACATCTCTGGAGTGGAATGCAGCCGGACACAGGGGCTAATGAGCTCTGAATAGAAAAAGATGTGCCTGCAAAGAGAAATGAGCCATTGTTCTGCTCTGTTCTATTCTAGGCAAGGTTATTGTGCAGTTCCCATTACCGCAACGCCTTACTGCTGCCCATAACTGCGTTAAACAGCATGATTAACATCTGTCAGTAACGACTGGAGCAGAGGAGTCACACCAGGCAAACAGCACCAGCCCGTCCTGTGGTCAGGCAGCAGCACAAGTAGCCACCTGCACTTGCACAGCACTTGTCCTGCGTCTCCCTGAGCAGGTAAATCTCTTGCCATATCTGCAGGATCTGTCTCACAGGAGTTGCTGTGGGAGCTGTCAAACTCCCAAGAGTTTCTAAGAGAAACGTGAAGATAGCAGCTGTGGTCTGGTCCCATCTAACACCATGCTGAGACACGAGTTCACTGCAGCTGAAAGGGCCCATTGTCCTTCACTCCCCACCAAACCACGCACGCTGAGTTTAAACCATGCGGCACCAGGATTTCCTGGACCATTTCTGACCACAGTGGAGCTCAGGTTTGGCACAGTGGGCACAAAGATGGCAAATTTGAAATCCAAGTGCCACAACAGCAGCAGCAACTACAGCTCAGCACGGCAAGGGAGGGGATTGATGAGCAGGTACTGGGCAGATGGAGCAGCTGCTAAGGGAGAATCACTGATTCGTGCTATTCAGGGAAACTTCCCATTACAATAATTCACGGTTTTAAAAAAGCCACAACCAAGGAATCAAAAAGTAGAAAAAGAGCCTAAGTGAGAGGAGTGAAGCCTTGGCAAAGTATGGCCCTAGATCTTAAACAGTTCCTGAATTATGGAAACAAAAGGGGTTACACCTTCATTTCAGTGCAGTGTTAGTTTTGGAAGAGCACTGAACTTGGATGTTGATGCTGATACCAAGCCTTGGGTAAGACCTCTTTTGTATGGACCACACACTGAGCTGCTGTGCATTGCTCCTCTGAATAAAGTTAGGCTAGGTTAGAACTAGACAGCAGAAAATCTGTTCAGAGTGGGAATGGGGGCTTCTGTCCATGCTGATGGATTCCCAAGCATAGGGACCTAGTTCTAAAAGCAGTCCTGTATGAAAGGACATGGCTTACACAGCCAGTTCTACATCCAGATGAGGGTATCTCTGCTCCCAAGCCCCTTCTGCTCCAGGTTGTAGAGGGCCAGATGGGGAGGCTGAGTGCAGGGCCCATGGCTTACAAAGTAGGGCTGGGAGCGGCTGATCTTTCCCAAGACCTTCCTTCCCCAGTTATCATCCTGGTGCTGGAAGTCTGAGCTGCAGGCTGGGCACGCTTCAAGTCTCTGATGGCTGCTCTAGGGCCAGGGAGTGCTACTACCTATTGCTAGCAGGTTCAGCACAGTCCATGCACAAATAGACGAGGAACCATAGCCTCAGCTGCTGCTGGCATTCTTCCATTGCCTGCACCACCAGAGCTTCTCACATAGCCAGGGCTGGTCCATGCTGGGCTCTGCTGGGTCTGGGAGTAAGGAGAGCATGTTTCTCTCCTAGCCAGCATTTCCAAACCAGTCTCTGGTAAGTGCTGAGATGCAGATCATCACGTCAGGCACTAGCTTGAGGCTGCTGGCTTTTCTGAGCCTTGGTTTTAATCTTTCTGTGCTGCAGCTTCCTCTCGGGTATGCCAGGAATAGAGGGTTGTGTCACAGGGATGAAGGTGGCCCACAGGGTCTCTGAATGAAGAAGGCAAATAATAACTAGTATTTTTTCTGCATTACTTCACCGAGATGAAGTGTCTCTAGTCATTCAGAAGTGCGAGCAGCACCGGGCTGCTGTTGCCTATGGGATGTGGCTTCCCAGTGTCTGAACTTGTGGCTTCGTCTCGCCCTGCTATGGGGCTGACCCGTCTCCAGGGCAGCCCCCAGGGTAGCTGAAGCCGCGGCTGCCCGCTGTCCCGGAACACCTCAGCCGCTGCCCTCCCACGGTCCCAGCCCTCCGAAGGAGGCACAGGCGAGGGGACCCTGCCCACTCCTCCGGCTCCGCGCTAACAGAAACGCAAGCAACGGCCGGCCCCGGAGCCCTCTCCGGGCAGTGCCACCCGCGGCTCTCTGGGGATGCTTCCCCATCGCAGGGGCCGTTTCTGGACGGATAACGGCTTATACGGCCCTTCCCGCTCCGCAGCGCTCCCCATGCGGGGACGGGCCAGCCCCAGGGCTCGCAGCCGGCTCCCCGCTGCGCTGCTGTCACGCTCCGCGCCCCCGGCTCCGCCACCCGCAGCGCTGCGCCTCGCCCGGTCGGGCCTTGCCGGGGCGAACGCACCAGGCACGGGACCGGGGTCCCCGCCGCCGGGAGGCCGCGGCAGCCCCCGCCCGCTACCTGGCCCGGCCCGGCCCTGCGCTGCGCCCCTCCCCGGAGGCAGCCGCGTTTCAGCGCTGCGCCCGCTGCACCAGGGCGGCCGCTGCCCGCCGGGGCCGGCACTTACTGAGCGCTCCCTGCTGAGGCGTCCGGAGCCCCCGCAGCGCCGCCGGCGGCGGGGGGAGAAGGGGGCGGCCGGGGGCCTCCGCTCCGCCGGCCCCGCCGCACTCCCGGCGGCCCCGCCCCGCCGCTCGGCGCCGCAGGCGATTGGTTGGCGCCCGCAGGGCTCGTCCCGCGGTTGGTCCGTGCCCCTGTCAGTCATGCGCGCGGCGGCGGCGGGCCGGCGGTGAGGTGATGTGGCGGCGCGCGGAGCGGCGGGGTTGTGCGGGGCTGCCCTCAGCCTGCCCGTGAGCCCCGCTGTGGGGTGCGGGGCGAGAGGCGGCTGCGCAGGGCCCCGCTTCTAGGGGCAGCCGGTGGCGGCTCCAGCCCCGGCGGTGGCGGTAGCCGTGAGGTGTGAGGCGTCTCTGTGCGGACGCGCTCGCCTGTGAGAGGCCCCGGGCCTGCCGCCTCCCAGGTAAAGGGACCCCGCTCCATGGCCGCGGTGCCAGGCGCGGTGCGTGGCCTCGGTCAGGGTATTGCGCGTGTAGGGAGGGCCGGGCCAGCTGGAAGGAAAGCTGCGTTCCGGTACCGGCAGTGTTCTCTGGGGCTCATTTACCGCCCGAGAGCCGCTCGGTCACCAGAATGGGGTGTGGATGGGCAGCTCCCTGGCTGGCAGGTGGGGCCTCGTACCCCCACCCTGGTACGGGCCTAGGGGCCGGCCCAGCTGAGTCCTGACCCCGTGGCACAGAGGTACCAGCTTGTACTGTGCAGGCCCCAGTTCCTGCCTGAGCCTGTGAGCGGGACAAGGAGTGTGGGGCAGGGCCGAGCCTTTCAGTAGCCACCACCGTTTGTGTTGGACCAAACCACACAACTGTGGGGACACACCTGTTCCCTGCCTGTGTGCAAACAGGTATTCGCAGTGAGAAGCAGCATGCAAGGAACCTCACATCAGTACCTGGTCTGCATTGTTCCAGCCATGGGAAATTAAACATTTAGCTGCCTCCCTAACGCTAATGGTTAATGTTTTATTCCTTCAGTGTTCCTCTTTTGGTAGTATCCCCAGAACAGGGCTTTGGAATGTGGATCTGCTTAGGTAAAGCCTAGCTGTCAGACTCCTTATGCATAAGGACAAGTTTTCATAGGGGCTGCTTACCTCTGCTGGAGGGTAATGAAGTTGGTAAGGAGGTAATCCTCAGGCTCTTTAAGCACCCACCCCTTGTCAGGACATAGCAGATAAGCCAGGCTTGAGACCTTTGCTGCAGAGTATGCCCTCTTCTGTCTCTCTGGGCTCTGGTTTGATTTTGCAAAGGAGGGCCTGACTTCTCCCCCAGTTTTGCTGTGCAGCAAGAGCAGGGTAGGCCCCACACTGCTGCCTATGCAGGTGCTCCGTGCAGCGTGGTCCAGGGCTGCTGCAGGGGATGAGTGCCAGCATCTGCCCAGGTGGGAGCTGACCCAGCCTCCCAGATCTCTCTGCAGCATGAGTCCTACAGGGCAGCACCCTGGCTGTTTAGCTGTTTGTGTGGTGGTTTTTTGGAGGAAGGGCGATTGTGGCTTTTCTGAGAGGGTGACAAAAAGCAGCCATCAATAGAGATATGGGAATGGATGCTCAGGGAAACCCACAGTGGCCCCAGGGACTGTGAGTCAGAAGGGAGGGAGGCCCTCATTTCTGATGGATCGCAGCAGGAAAGCAGTTTTGTTGGTCTCACACAGTTCCAAGTGTGATATGCAGCAGCTGTTCTGTAAAGCTTCATCTCCTTTGTCTCCTGCAGTCATCTTTTTGTTTTCCTTCTGTCTGGCTCTGTGTGTTCTATTCTTTAAGAGACTGACTTCTTTCTGGCAGGGTTTGCCTTTACTGGCCTTTGTATCATTCAGGTGTTTCCCTTCCCTCTAGTTGTACCTTGTAAGTTTTTCTTTCTTCTCTGCCCTTAGCAGCTCAGCCGTGGCGTTGCACATACTGGCCTCCCTGTAGCTCTGGCCTGTGGAGATGGGCAGCTCTGCAGAGAACTGGATTGCAGCAGCAGAGCTGGTTAGCTGTTACCTGAGTCTTCTGTTGGGGTAATCCTTTGTTCTTCTTAGGGTATAATGGTTTTTTACCTGTGGGCTGGGATTACAGCAAGCAGTCTGCATTTTGTCAGAGGGGAAGAAGAGATTTGCTAGCCCAAGGGATTCAAGCTGTTCTCTTGTCTCATTTCCTAGACCAGAAGTGCTGCAAACCAATGCCATTTTTGTGCTGCTGTGAAGAGATCCACTGACTCTGCTCAGCTGGTGCTTAGCCACAGTGGCTTGTGGTAGCCCTAAGTGTCCTGTGAGCCTCAGCACTGACTGGATCAGCTGGTAGCAGGACCCGATTTTGGAACAATGAGATGCCTCATGCACACACCGCTTAGGAGGTTGTCATGCCTCTTACCTCGGTGCATGCCAGGGAGGTGGAGTCAAATCCTCAGTCCGAAGTGGTCCTCTCTGAGGCTGAGCTGCAGCACAAGGCCTGGAGTCGTGACTGCCGCCGATGTGGTCAACTACTGGCAGAAGGTGTTTGAGGCAAATGGGATCCCTGAAGCACGAGAATCCAGTGAATATATCGTGTCATTTGTCCTAGGAGCAAAAACAGTTAAGTAATAGGAAAAGTATATGGTCTCTGTGTGCCTCTCACTTCATTGTTTTGGTTGAATCCCTTGCCTTTCTTTTTATCTCTTACAGGAAGTAGAACAACTTTTCCTTCCTTAGGGTGCACAGAGGGTGAGGCATAGTTTATTTATGCCAGTAGAACACTTGGGTTCTCTTGAATACCCTCTTTTGCAGAGATGGAATGTAACCCATGGCATACACACCCACACTGTACCCTGACTTGCTTGGTGGAATGTTCCTTAATTTTACTTACTCTTCTGAGGCACAAAACTAGCTTAAGAACAGTAGTACAGGTTTGGTTTAAAACATGCAGATAGGTTTGCCTAATCATTTGTTGTTTCTAACAGCCCCTGGCATATGTGTTTGTCAGGATACTGGGTCTCCCTCAAGGATGCTTTTGGGGTGGTGCAGAGGATGCCCTAGTGGCACAAGTGGGCAGGTTTTAATGTGACCTTGTCTTCAGTTTCAGAGCTTGAGTTCCAAAAGCCTTCGCACTCCGCTTACAGCAGCACAGCAGGAGCAAATCCAGCAGCTGAGCAACAAGCGACTAGAAAGGTAAGAGCATCCTCTTACAGTCATTCCTTTGGAGGGTTTTCCTTCAGCCTTAATAAACCAGAAGCATGGCAGCAGGGAGAAGACAGAAGACCATTAGCAGCTGACATGTCAAGTAACAGTGCTGTGTTTATCTCAGGGTGACTCAAGTGATGGGCATTTGCTGTTGTCAGGTAGCAA